CTCATTTGTTTGTCTAACCTATTTGATATAGAGTTCAATGAAAAAAAAGTGAACAAGATACTATAAATACGTAAAATATATTAAAATTCTTAATAATATTGTGGTCTAAAAATGTTATGTAATGAAAACAGAAAAGGGAAGATAAAATGAAGCGCATGTTTTACCTTGAATTTTAACAAGAGCTTTAGACTATTTCGAAAATTCTGACTTTTGGTATATATGTTCATCATAGTTACACAACTTATAGTACTGAAGAAATTCAGTACAAGATTGATTTGTAAAAAAATGGGGTGAAACGAATTACATGTACGAGAATGGTGCATTTACATGATCATAAGCTAATGACTTGATTTTTGTACTTGATTAAAAACTTTTAAGAATGTACAATAGCATGTTCTATCGTCCTTGAGACAACGATGCACTAAACTCATTGACAGAACATCTTTCGTTATCTTTTGCTGATCCATCAAGATCCAAGTATGTTTCAAACTTAAATGTGGGTTGTTTAGGACTTGAGCATTTCATTTCACTGTTGAGCATGAGAATTATGTCAGCCATAGTAGGACGGTCCCTAGGATGCTCTTGAACACAGAGAAGGCCAACGTGTAGGCATCGCGGTATCTCTTCTGGAGAAAATGAGTTGATCAATGTCCCATCCATAAAGTCTAATCCCCTTTGTTCACTCCACAATTTCCATGCCTGCAATATCTCATACACATGAGTACTGTTGTCACAAGGCTCAAGACATCAATATATAAGTGAAAATTGATCAAAGACAGCAGCATCAAACAAAGAGTGTGTACTAACATAATTGAGGAGGTTAAGATTTTCTTCAACGTAATGGAAACTTGAATTCTTCTTCCCACTTATGATTTCTAATAACAAGACTCCGAAGCTGAAGACATCAGATTTCTCCGAGAATACTCCCCTCAAAGCATATTCAGGAGACATGTATCCACTGCATTTGTCGCCCAAAATATATTAGTGCTAACTTTCAGCAAGTAAAAATTGATACAGCAGTACAGACATATGGTTGCTTACTATGTTCCAGCTACTCGGTGAGTATGCACTAGTTGCTGCTGCTTTTGAAATGTCCTTGCTAAACCAAAGTCGGAAATTTTTGGATTCATATCCTCATCCAAAAGGATATTGCTAACCTTCAAATCCCGGTGGATAATGTTCAAACAGGAATCTCTGTGTAGATATAATAGCCCTCTAGCAACACCTTGAATGATGTTGAACCGTTTAGGCCAATCTAGCAGTTCTTTTTGTGAAGCATCTGATTATTAATGTATAAACAGTTAATAAAGTATCACCTCTAAGAATCCCTTAGGCAAGTTGTACATGATGGCGACTATATTTTCAGCCATTTAGGTGCATTTGTGTTTTAGGAAAATCTAGCAATGCGAAAGCTTTATTTTGAGCCCAAGAGACGGAGAAAAGAATTAGAAGAGAGGAAAACAGGAGCTGCTAGACATACCAAAGAGAGATTTATCCAAGCTTCTATTTGGCATGTATTCATATATTATAAGAAACTCTTCCCCTTCAATGCAGCATCCCAGGAGTCGTACAAGATTCCTGTGCTGGAGTTTTGATATCAATACAATTTCATTCTTGAACTCCTCTATGCCTTGCCCCGTTCGATTAGAAAGTCTTTTCACAGCTATTTCTGGACCATCTTTTAGCTTTCCCTGTGCAGAGTCCGCCAATTAAAAGTCCAATGATCAGAATACATATTTTACAATTCATAATTTTAAAAAACAAATAAAAAATAATGCAAATTCCATGATGGATTTGTGTGTCATCACATATTCGATTAAATGCTTGAACAAAAGTGTAGTTACCTTGAAAACTGGACCAAAACCTCCTTCCCCGAGTTTGTTTTCTTCATTGAAGTTGTTTGTTGCTGAGGCAATTACCTCAAATTCAATCAGTGGAAGTTCAATTGGATCTTCTTTCTTTAAATTACCAATCCATAAACTTTCCACTGTGTAGTCTTTTGAAATGTAGCATGAATCACCCAGACTGAAGCTTCTGGCTCCTTTTCTCTTCTGTCCTGTTAAGACGAAGTAAAATATCTAAAGATCAGGCTAGACGTCCGTTGTGTCAAAAAAACCATTAAGGTAGTTTGATTTGCTGCATGTATTTTTCAACTTGTTAGCTTTAGGGAGGTCATATATTGTTACCTGTTTGATGAATCTTGTGCTTGAGCAAACAAAATAGAGCAAAACCAGAAAAGAGACAGGAAAATACTGCAGAACATATGATTAGTGTTCTTTTAAACTTCCGCTTACCTGGAAAAACTGTAAAAACATTTTAATAAACTACTTCAGTAGATGGATTACATCGTAAAGTTAGTAACGACAAGTGAGGCCTGGGATCGTAAAGTCAGTGTAAACCAAATCAATGTAGTGGTTACCTAACTCTGAGTAAGCAAGCCGAAGGAAAAGATCTTCCCCTGAATACGAGTAATCCTGCATATCTAAAAGATCACCAGACCACACCATACACCTAATTCCTGCCACATAAGCATAAGCAGTGCAAGAACAATTGTTTAAGCACAATTTTTCACATTCACTTGCACTGTCAAGGCGAAAAATAGCAGCAAGATCAGGCAGTTTCAGTCCGCTAAGCTTCAAAAATCTGTCCTGCAGTCCAACCCCTGGAGATAGAGTATTTCCTTTTTGCTGACAGAGTAATTCAGTTCGTCTCACACAACCACCTGTCCAGTTTCCTTTGCTCCATTCATCACCAGACTGTGGCACGAACCCTCTTAAGCAGCTGCAAATTGGGAAGTTATGCTTGCTACAGACTGCTGAAGGTCCACATGTGTTATATATATCACATGGTGCACGTACCATTGTAGCATAAATTTCCCAAGCTGGATCTCCATTGGTCCACTGAACAACTTGAACAGATCCCGTAGACTGAAGCTCCACGAAATTTAGGAATGAAGTATTTGGAAGAAAGGTGAAATATGTGGTTCCCTCTTGAAAGTCTTGCTGAAAAACAAACTGAATTATATAGGCTGCTGAATCTATACAAGGCAAACCAATGAACTTCAGTCCATTCCACTCCCCGGTTCTGTAGTAAGGAGTGAATTTGTTCCATACAAAAAACTGAGGTGAAAGTTGCTCCGAGATCCCTATAGAAAAATTTCCGGGTGAGGGGTCATTTTCCTTCTGCCAAGAAGACAAGAGCCATTTCTCCCCGGTTTTACTGTTAAAACCTATTTTCATTCCTGGCAAGAAAGTATCACAAGGATAATCGAAACTCTCCCAGAAGGTTTGTCCCGAGACATTATCTTTAAGCACCAAATTCCCACTGTCCAGGAGAACAACAGCAACTGTTTTATTAGAAGAGATAGACACATTGCTTGACCAGATAACAGTCTGTGTACCATCAAGAAGCACCAAGTTTCCATTTTCGCTAATTGATAGACTCGCAGCAGAATCAGAAACTTTAAGTGGACTTTCTCTGTTTGCAATCCACACAACTTTAATAGGAGGGATATTTTTAAACCATATCCCCAGGTACCTTTTATCGGAATTGGCTGGAGTAAAGAATCCAAATTCAAAAACTTGACTAGCAGATGTTAATGTTTCTCCTACTAAAAGTTTCCAGGATTGCTGAATGGTGTCTGATGCATTACAGTAATATGTTTGAATGATATAACAAGAAATTAGACAGATCAAAAGAACTTTCCAGGCTTGTCTGAATCCCATTTTCTTAAATGGACTTGTATCATAACAAACATCAAGGAACAATTAAAAGAGTCACCGCGCAACTTCCAATAACCAAATAAAGGGAATTGAAACATGAATGAACATAGTTGGAATTCTCCAAGTGATTCAAACTTGGTGACAAGTTAGGTCTTAGAAATGTGTCAAGTCTATTAGAATGTCCAAAAAACTATTCAGAACATTTTTGGACAATGATTTGGTTTTTTGTTTTTTCCTTTCTCTAATAATAATATGCTACATGTTTGAAGCCAAATTTATCTTAGCCTATGCAGGGTTGGGAGTAAAGACACTATAACTTGTCTTACTTGATCTGAGGTCATTTGGACTAAAGATCACTAAAGTCCACATCTGGGAATAAAGATGTTATCTTCAAAACAATAATTAAGAAGAAGAAGAAAAAATGGAACTTGAAATACTTGTTTTTTCTTAAAAAGAATAGTCGGATTCGGTATGAAAATTAACTTGCTTAATTTTTATAGGATTTGGAAAACAGGGGTATCAGTATTTTCTTTTTGAAGATTATTATAATTAAAATGAAAAGGTATTATATAAATTTGTACATAGTACAAGTTTTTAAGGCGGTAAACATTAGAAAGAATTGTTTGATTCTCTTAACTTGTTTGGGTTTAACACACCTCTTTTAGAAAAATATCTAACGATGAAAATTAAAGATTACTTCCACTATATCCTTTTGATCGCTCCGAACTATTGTTTTAGAATATGTCAAAGTAATTATGAGTCCAACAATCCTCTCAAAGTACATAATAAAAACTATTATGCATTGTATGGTAGGCATACTTACCGTTATAGCTTCGGGGTTTGGTAAGATAGGATCTGATTATAGCTTCGAGTACAGGTGCCAAACTGGAACTGGACGGTGAAGGAGGGCTACAATAAACTTCCTGGCAAAACTTGCCAACTCTGAGCCACTTGTTGGAAGTGCAGCTTGAATGGGGGATATTTTATTGATCTTTTAATCGATCTCACCAAATTCCCAGAGCCAACGGTACTACACGAAACACCATTAACCAATTTTGAGCAATTGAGTCCTATTCTGCTGGGAACAGTGGAAAAGAGGAGAATCGAACAGTAAGACGAAACGGGTTTTTAGGGTTGAAAAAATGGGGGTTTTCCTTTCTGCTTTAGCCGCCATATTATTTGAATCACCCACTCATGTAAAGGGACAAGCTATGTGCTAATAATACTCGTTTGCCCAAAAAAAAAAAGAAGTTAAATCGTCTATTTCTTTTCTGATACCAATAATTGTCAATTCTTCCTTTGAAGAGAAACCTTTCTATCATGAATATTCTTTTACCAAATCCCAAAGTTATACTCTGCCTGGAGTGAAGATACCTGGTATCAAATATGACTTCGGTCTGGTGGGAACAGGGCTGTGTGCACTGGAGATGCCAACATTATCTATGGAGTTTCGAACAGTGCACTGTTTGGCCAAGCTGAGACAAAGCTCTGATTTATGGAAGGTATCATTTGGATCACAAAGTTTTAATATAAGGTCTCTCTTTTTGGTCATGACTCATGCCTTGATATTTTATTGCTTCTTTTTTGCCAACCTTATTGCAGCGCCAGGAATTCAGCTATTTAGGCCTATTGACAAAAGTTCCCATGTTTCTCTGGTATATCCTGCCATTAATTTCTTTTTCCTTGGAGGAGTTGGTGAAATATATTTCCTTACAAGTGTAGAATTTGACATTGTCTTTGTGTCGTATATCATAAGAAAGGCTACTGTTTGTTAGATTTATTCTTAACGGAGCGTAAAGTTATTTGGAATCTACAAGCAAAAAGCTTGGGAGATCACCAGTAGATTTAATTTGGAATCTACAATCCTACTGATTTTGATTAATTGAAATCCATATCTCCATATTTAATGTTGTCTTTGAGAAATGGTAGAGTGGATTACAAGATAGCTAATCAAACAGCTCCGACCCACACGGTGAATGTGTTAGCAGCCCCCTTGTTTGATGGTGAAGTTTGAACTTGGCAAAGTTCACCTGTGTATGGATCTACAAGAGGGTATAAGGTAGAATAGGTCATTCCCTTTTAAAAAATAAGAAAATAGTGTTATGAACACTCAAAAGTTGAAGATTTCTTCCATATTTGAGTTTCGTGCAACAAGTCAACCACGACACTGATTTATTAAATAGTAAATAATTCCATTTCCCCTTCTGTCCCAAATGGAACACAAGCTGATCTCCCTACAGATAGTTCAAGTTATGCAGAACCTGGTAATAACTATGGCTTGTGTTTCAACGGACGAAATACTAGTTCTCAAGCTTTAGAAAAACTGTAAAATGGTTTCTTGAAGTGATAGGAGATAGCAAACATGTAATTCTGTCCCTTGATTATGCAGTGATATATACTGAACGACTGAAGTGCTTCATTCTAACTTAGATATGACAAGTGGGGTTTGCTCGATTGGTGGAGCATCTCCATCTACAAACAGTAAACAAAAGAACTTCAGCTATACCGATTGAACAAGGTTGTGACATATCTCTCTTTCAGCTTGCAGAGCTGAACCACCTTCTAATTACAATACACATGATGTGCGAAAGTTTACCTAGCTAACAAAAAATTATGAACATAGTTCCAACTATAACTTTACATAGTTACACTACTTGATCCCATTCTCTTCAAATGAAGCAGGTATGTAAGAAGGAACAAGCATTAACCAATCATCTACCTATTAGTACACTAACTGTGACATTGTTGGAAGATGTTAAATCCTGATTCCCATGCCATATATCTTCATCCACAGATCTTCTCATTGAAGTATAGGTAGGTTGCCTAGGCAAGGGCAACCTTACATTGTCAGTTTCCAGCATCAGAACCACAGAAGACATGTTTGGTCTGTGAGCCGCCAAATCTTGAACACAAAGCAATGCCAAGTGTATACATCTCAATGCTTCATTGTGTTGACAACCATCCCAAATTGAACGATCCACCAGGTCCATTGGTCTACCTTCATCCCACTTCTCCCATGCCTGAAATATTTTCCACCAGAAAAATATGAGAAAGATGACCACTCCGTCATTGCTCATCACACAAGAAATTAGCCCCATTATTTAGACAGCTTGTTCTTGACTAAAAAGATAGAAATAGTTGGAGAAATTAGTCAGACTTACATATCCAATGATGCCTGAATGCTCATCTGTCCGAAAGCTTGTATTTCTCCGTCCACATATAATTTCAAGCAATATTATGCCAAAGCTGTAGACATCAGACTTGCCAGAGAACAGGCCTTCCATAGCATACTCAGGAGCCATATATCCACTGTTGTTTAACAACAAGGTACAAAATGAAATGGATTTAGCTCTAGGAACACGAAATTTTGAAATTAGTCTCTTACAAGATTTAAAATCAAATGATAACTTACTATGTTCCTACAACCCTATTTGTATTTGCTTCATTTTGGTTTCCTCCAAATATTCTGGCCATGCCAAAGTCTGAAATTTTTGGGGTCATTTCTTCATCCAACAGAATGTTACTAGCCTTTAGATCCCTATGGATTATTCTAAGCCTTGAATCTCTATGGAGATACAGTAATCCTCGGGCAATTCCTTCGATAATGTTGAAGCGTTTTCTCCAGTCTAACAGGGATTTCCTAGCAGTATCTGTCAAAGTTTAACAGCCAATACAGTTGTTAGTGTCTATCTCAATGAGATGTCTTGCTATTATAGTACATCTGTGGAAGCAGCAGAAATTATTTTGATAAAATTTTCTGAACTTACCAAATAGAAATGTATCTAAGCTTTTGTTGGGCATGTACTCATAAATCAGCATTTTTTCTTCTCCTTCAACACAGCAACCTAAAAGTCTAACAAGATTTCTGTGTTGCAATTTTGCTATTAGAGTGATCTCGTTCTTGAACTCCTCATCACCTTGTCCAGACTTTTGTGAAAGCCTTTTTACAGCAACCTCTTGACCACAAGGTAGCTTTCCCTAAAGATTTGAAAAACATTAACTTTAGTCCAAAAAATGGCCATATAGCTCCTTAAGGAACAGAATAATCTATCAAGATTGAAAATTTACCTTGTAAACGGGGCCGAATCCCCCTTGCCCAAGCTTGTTTGCAAGAGAGAAGTCGTCAGTAGCTGTCGCCACCATGCTGAAGCTGAAAAATGCTAATTCTGAACCATTTCCTTGATGCCCTTCAGCACTGATGTCACCTGGTCCAGAATATTCCATGGAGAACTCTCCACTCCTAACTAAATGGTTTTTGGGAATTTCACTGGTCCTCTTGGATTCTGAAAATTGCAAATCGAAATTATAAGTACAACATGGAACACATCATATATGCAACGAACAAGTGAGAAAGGTTACTGCATCAAAATTTACCTCGTTTTCTGGCCCTGTACTTGCACACTAGCCAAATGGCTACCATAACAACCAACGCCAGAGCTGCTAGAATTGATATTACAACAATTATGATAGTCTTCTTTTTTTTACCTGTTTCAAAAGATTTTCAAAGGAGAAATCAAGAAATTAGAAAGGCTAATCATTCTTTAAACACGAGGAAGAAAACAATTTATCTGCTTATTGTTTGAGCTTGCTACTAATAAAGAGTAGAAACGATTGCCAGAAATGAGAGGTAAATTGAGGACCTCTATCTGAGATGATAGACAAGGGAACCCATGAAACCTAACTATCTCATTGATGTAGAATTTGGCGTAGTCCTCCACTGAATCTCAGATGTACTAGTCAAAAGGAAACCTACCTTTCTTTGTTCATCACAGGAAAAGAAGAGCTACCTTTGTAATGTTTCATATTATGTGCTCATTCTTAAAAGAAGGAAAAAAAGATATGGAGAAAAGCAAGTGGCAACATGCAAATGCTATTATGTTATACTAATCTTTGTACTAAGGCACAATTTATTTGGTTTTAGATTTGTATAATTGCACGAATGAGAAGAAAACTGGTAAGAGATTCTGAATTTAGCAGAAAGTATTGTGCTTACCGATATCAGAAGGATGAAGACGAACATAAAGAGTGTTCCCACCTTCCTCAAAATGCTCTATATCAACTAAATCATCACGCCATACCATACAATTGATTCCTCTGACATGAGCATAACCATTGCAGGAACAATCATTCAGGCACTTGATTTTGCACTCTTCTGTGCTTATTTCTGCAACATCAGCATGGTCAGGTAATTTAACTCTCCGAATAGTCGAGAATCCATCATCTTTTGAACTATCATTCCTTGAAACACTGCTATTTTTCCTGCATTCCAATTCTGTCTTCCTAACACATCCTCCAGTTCGGTTCCCAGCATGCCACTCCTCCTGAACACTTGGTACAAATCCTTCTAGACATTGACATACTTCTTTATTACATTCTGAAAAATTCCCACAAAAGTTGTACAAGTCACAACCACCTACTGGCCTAGATTGTAACGTGTTCCATTCACCCTCGTCTTCGTTCCACCTCTGTTGCAGCTCATTTCCAGTCACAGTAAGCTGAAACCTCAGAAAAGAAGATGTATTTGAGGCACTGTAAGTGAGTAACAATTTATTATCTCCTTCGTTTAGAATTCTGAAACCAGAGAAAAAATTTGTTCTGATCACATCTGGAACACCAATGAATTCCGCTCCATCAAAATGTCCACTCCTCCATCGTCTATTCGGTCCATCCCAAATAATAATCTGAGGTGTTCCACGAGGATCAACTCCCATTGAGTACCTCCCAGGTGAAGGGTCACTCTCATTTGTCCAAGAACGGAAAACTTTTTGCTCGCCTTGTCTTTCTATGAGAACTTCCATTCCAGGCACATATGTATCTGTAGGATCCGAGAAGCTCTCCCATAATTCAGAATTTAACCTCGCAGCATCCCTGTCATTATTAAGGATGACAAGATTGCCGTCGTCTCTCAGACAAGCCGTAGAATTTCTGGTTTGAACAGAAACATTAGACGACCATAGTAAATCTCCATTTCCATCTTTAACAACCAAATTCCCAATTGTATCAATTGAAAAGGTACCATTTTTATCATGAACAAGCTTGTTCCTGTTGGCAACCCATATATATGTCTTTACTGGTATATCAACATACCATATACCAAGATACCTTTTACTAGTACCTGCAGGACTAAAGAACCCCAACACAAAATCCCCTCCTTTAGAAGTAAGGTTATCACCATCTTTATAAATCTCTCCTAGTGTAACTCTGTCACCACCTAAACAGAATGAGGAGAAACAAGAAAGAATGAAAAGAAACAGGAACCAAAAGGGGGGGAAGGTAAATCCAGTGGCCATTCAAGAATTTGGAAATGGTGCCACAATTCAAGAATGGAGAAGGGATTTTAGAAAGAAGAATGGTAAAGGGTATAGAAAATAAAAGAAAGAAGAAGGTTCTGATGAGTTGCAGATTAGATGGCTAAGTAAGAATAATCTAAGAAGTTGAGAAAGATTGACCTGAAAGAAGGTTGTCTACATATGTAGTTGAAGATTCTTTAGGCTGACCACTGACCAGCCACCTTACTCTGCCCCACTAGTCAATTTCTGCTTTTTTTGTGTAAATAAAGGGGAGTAGAAATGCCTTGATTTCAATAATATATACTCCACTAGGACTCTAAGGACTATAACTATTAATGGAAAAGATTTCAAAACAATAAATATCTCAAAAGATTTACATAATAAAGTCATTTAATTAATTTTGTATTAATTATTTATTTTGTCATGTTAGATTTTTGATTTATATTAAAATAAAATAAAATTAAATGACTTTTTTACATAATTTCTCATAATTGAGTAAATATTTTTTTGTTTGAATGATAAATCACATTATATTTGAACTAAATACATATTCTAATATTATCAAAATCTCCTTTTAATAATGTAGTCTCAAGACATGTTTGGTACAATATTGTTATTTAAAAATGTTTGTGCTTATTACATGAATATATCCTTCTCAACTGAGATTTATATCATTTAATTTGAGTGTGCGTAAATATATATTTAAACTTTTATAAAATTGAATAGTTATACACATTTGTCCTATGTGACATCTTACATGATAATTTTGTGTCTTGTGTGTATTATATCACGCAATACACGTGTGTCTACTTATTCAATTTTATACAATTTTAAATATCTATTTGTGCATACACAAAATTAGAGGACATAAATGTCAGTTGATACTTGAGGTCAAGTTAAAAAGTATTTTTCATGTATTATGTCTTAAAAATGGTATATAGGATGAAACATTAATACTAACTTATAAGTCAAACCATGTAAAATGATTTTTGTACTGTGAATTGCTAGTAACGGGAAAAAAAATAAATGTGTACAACTTATTGAATTCGTAGATTCCCCTTAAATTGAGAGAAAATAAGTTGTTGCAGGGAATGAATGAATCGCATTTTTCAGTATATATGTTTTGTTTGCAAGTTGCAGTAGAATAGCTCTATGGTCAAATGGGCCTCTTTTAGCATGTCTACAACTTAGCTACTATTATGGTGATTTTTTCCATTTTGAAACTAATAATTTGATTACATTAAATTACAATTTCCTTAGTCCTAAGTAATGTTGTGTCCCTTTTATTTTAGGTCCAAAGAAATTTTCCTTTTCTTTTAAGGAAAATAATTGCTATTTGGTGTTTCAATGATCAATGAATTTTGATTTTGATCCTTATAAATTTTGACTGAGCAACTAACTCTTATATGTATTTTCGCTCATTTCTATAAAAAAAAATAATGTCATTTTTAGAATAATCTCTAAAATTTAATAATACTTTGATAATTGAATGTCTTAGCACATAATACTTTGTTAAAATTGTGAATATTTATAATAAGAAGGATAAAAAAATACACATATCAATTAATTAAACATTGAATACACTTTACCAAATAAATCTAAAAGAATCAAAATCAGAAATTGTCAATAACAGTGTAATTTCCCTTTTTCTTAAAGTAGATCTTTTGGGCTGTTCAGAGGGATGGCTTTGTCACTTTTGGTTTACTGTAATTCAAATACAGTTTGTTATAACTTGTAAGTTGAACTGCTTTTCTAAGGAAGTGCTCTATATTAAATTATTTATCATGATTTTTTTAAAATAGTTATCTTATTACTTAGTCTCATATTAATTATTCATATTATTAAATTATTCCAAGTCACTTAGTAATTTACAAATCAATATAAAATTAATTTTGTATTTTATTTTACACTTATAATTAATTCTTTTTTAAGTACAAATTTGTAAAGTTTCAAAAAACATTATCCAAGATAAATCAGTACAAGTATACAACTACCCCCTTCTTATTCTAGTTGATTAACGAACATGTAAAGGAAAAGAATGAAAATAATATTCGTGATTTTAGATGTTTAAGTAATTTTTTTAATTTATATTACCTTTTTAATTATTCTTGAAGATTACAAATGCCTCAATAATTAAAAAAATAGAAACCAGTTACAAAATTCCTTCTAATTAATATTTTCTTAGTAGGCATGTAAGAAAAATATCGACAAATAATTTGATTCTTAGCATGGCGCACATTTTAGAGAAATTCAGTCACCCCCCAAAAATATAAGAGATACGTAATATGATTTTTTTTTAAATTATATATAAATATATAAACCACTTATTTCATTATTATGTAAAGCTTTTTTTAAAAAAGGAATAAATAAATAAGATCACTTGTGTAAAAAATGTCTATATTGGACCAAATATAAACATTAGATATATCTTATAATTTAATTTAATTTTAATAAAATACCGGAAGAAATAATTTTTGTTAGTTGAAGAGTCAATTTTGCTCGGACAAAAAGAAGTGTTATTTAATGTTTGTTATGAAACAAACATGTCCAAGTTTAAATAATCAGAATGTGTGAATCTGCTGCTCTGCTCAGTTTAAGAATTACTATTTTCTTCTTGTTTGTTACTGATTGCAAATTTTTATTTTATTTTAAAACATCGTGTCCCAATCGAATAACTTATACAATTATTTTTTAAATATTCACACAATGCATTTTTACTTATTTATATTTGACTTCAATATTCTTTTAAATATTTGTATTTGTTGTATATAATTAATCATCTAAATATTGAGAAATGTATAATGAAATAAATTATTTTGCCATTTTTTAAAAACTAAATATCCATTTCTAATACTGATATAATAGATGAGTAAAAAGAGAAGGCAGGAAGTAGAATTTTTAACCAAACTAAGTCATTATATAAAATAATTTATCAAAATAATACATTTTTCTAAAATTTTACAAAACTAGTATAAACGTATTTCACGGTAACGTTTTAGGGTATATTTTATTTTTTAAAAACTAACAGCATTATGTTGATATACGTTAACGTTTTACTTTTAAAACGTTATTTTCAGTAACGTTTTAGGAGTAAAACGTTACTGTGAGTAACGTTTTAGGAGTAAAACGTTATTGTGAGTAACATATATCAATCTGACACCATCAACTTTTTAAAAAATAAAATATATCCTAAAACGTTACTGTGAAATACGGTTATACTAATTTTGTAAAATTTTAAAAAAAACATATTATTTTGATGAATGACTTTATATAATAGCTTACTTTGGTTAAAACCTCTAGGAAGTAATAATCATAGTCTTTTTTCTTCTTTCTTTTTTCCCCTTCCTTTGTGCTCAAATGTCCACAATATCTGCATCAACAAACCCTTGTATTCATATTACATTAGTTTCCAACTAATTGCCTTTTAGATGGATTGCAATGTTCTAGAGTATACCCCGAAATAACATAATCCCTCTTTCATTTCATATAATCTTATTTAACTTGTATGGAATTAATTAAGAAATAAATTTCAATCTTTATATATAATGTTTACAATATAATTTATATGATATATAAAATGTGTTCTTAAAATCTTGCAAGTATTATATCAACATATCATTTCTACAAGAGCAAATAGCTAGTGATATTTTTTCCCCCATAGAATTATATATTAGTGGATATTTTAATAACGCAATTTTTTATGCAACAATTTTTTCCGCTTACATTTAAATTTAGTGTTATCACCGAGGGGTGTAAGATTCTCACACCATAAAAAATGAATTATGATATACATGCTACTCAAATTGCTTGAATTTTTAACCAAACTAAGTCATTATATAAAACAATTTACCAAAGTAATACATTTTTCTAAAATTTTACAAAATTAGTATAAACGTATTTCACGGTAACGTTTTAGGGTATATTTTATTTTTTAAAAACTAACGGCATTAGGTTGATATACGTTACTGTAAGTAACATTTTACTTTTAAAACGTTATTTTCAGTAACGTTTTACTCCTAAAACGTTACTGTGAGTAACGTTTTAGGAGTAAAACGCTACTATGAGTAACATATATCAATCTGACGCCATCAACTTTTTTTAAAAAAAATATATCCTAAAACGTTATTGTGGAATACGTTTATACTAGTTTTATAAAATTTTAAAAAAACATATTATTTTGGTGAATGACTTTATATAATGGCTTAGTTTGGTTAAAACCTCGAAATTGCTTTCATGTCAAAAAAAAAATTGGTGAATTCAACACCATGCACAACATGAGTTAAAAAAATATCGATTGAACATCTTTTATCGAAAAAAATAGTAAAACAAATTTACGTAAGCAGAAGAAAGGTTGTGCAGTGATTCGCGGCTGTTCAAAGAGTGAATCCTCGTCTCTTTTTTTAAAAAAGCTTAATCGATAGTTATTAGGATTCTTCCTCTTGTTCTTTTTGTTTTAGACATCGAAAAAATCATGTGACGCATATGCTAGATAACCAATACATTGAACATCAACAAGATCATTGAAAAAACATTTGTAAATTATAAATATGAAAGACACATGATAAAGAGAGATGAAATCTGATTCAATCAATAAATTCATATATATAGAACTTTTAATGATATTTCTAATTTTGCATTTACATTCTCTTATATATACTCTTATGATGACGCAAAAACTTCCTTAAAAAAATTCTTTATTTTTTGGAGGACTAATAAATATATATATTCTTTGACATTTTAGTTCTAAAATACTATTTTTTTCATTTCATATGAGTTGATCATTATGCTAAAAGTTTTTTTTTCTTTTATTAGTTGTTCATCTTAAATTAAGAGAGCATTAATTGAATATTTTCTATACTACTCTTGCAATTAATTCTTTTAAAAAGTGTTCATATTTGTTTGTAAAATTTTCAATAAATTTTTTAAGGAATAAATTAGTAAAATTGTCTTCTTATGATTTGCTAAGCACCATACAAAATGAAAAGTGATCAACTAATATA